TCAAGGAGACACATGGTTCTGTGAGTCACAATTCTGCAGATCTGTCCTAATATTTCTACCACACTCAGATTAAAATTGGACAGATAATATGGAAATTACAACTCTGGTTATTTACTGATAATTCAGTGGTGGCAGCTATGCATTATATACTTTAAAGCTATAGTTTAGAGAAGTTTAGAGAAGTCATCCTGAGCCTGTCTCGGCGGGGAGGGCAGGGTATAAATCAAATCAAATCAAATAAATAAATAAATAAATAAAATCTGCATGCCTTTGCCTCCTTTCTCCCCCTGAACAATACAACCTTAAAGGGGTAAAGACCAGTATGGCTGACAACAGGGTGCCATGTCCATTGTGTTAGTGCACAACACTGTTTGCATGGGTTCCCAGAGTTAATGAGCTGTGTCTGAACAAAATTATGCTCAGGGAAGAGAGAACAACCTTGTGTATATGCCTGTACATGTGGTGTAGTAGTTAAGTGTCAGACTACGACTTGGAAGACCCAGGTTCAAATCCCCACCCCGCCATGGAAGTTTGCTGAGTGACTTTTGGCCAGTCATACACTCTAGTCTAACTTTAACTCACAGGGTTGTTGTGAGGATAAAAACTGAGGAGAGGAGAATGATGTAAACTGCTCTGGATCCCCACTGAGGAAAGAGTCAAAGTATCAATGAAGTAAATAAATAAATGCACACAAAAGACTATGTAAGGAAACAACACTCCATCACTGCTAAAATAAAGATAAATCCAGCAGTTGACCACAGAACTAAGTCTGAAAACTTTTTTTAAAAGTCAATACATGGTCCTAGCCTTGGGGATCCTATTTGCATGGAAAGGTGGCATATGAATGTTTTAAATAAATGTAAATTAATAAAATAAAAATGAGTAGGGTAGAAGACAGTGCTGGAATACTGAGAACAGAGGCCAAGCCAAAGATTCTATGGAGTCTCTTTAAGTTATACTCCAAAACCTAACCAAAGCAAGTTCTTATTTATTACCCTATTTCCATGCCCCCATGATGACCAGTCAAAGCAAATATCAGATGTGGATACAGGTTTTTTCATATATGGAATGTCCACACTAGAATTTTTTATCCTACCACAAAAATCTAAGCCAGAAGAACTCATGAGCTCTGCTATTTAAAGACAGGGCAAATGTGTTATAAACACATTAAAAAGTTGATTTGGAATATCACTGAAGACACCACATGCTAGGTAATTTTCTCACACGAAAAAATGCAGCAACTAATGGGGTGGTAGAAAGTGCAGTCAACTCACAGCCAACTTATGTTGACCCCTCATGGGGGTTTCAAGGCAGGAGATGTCTGGAGGTGGTTTGCGATTGCCTGCCTCTGCGTCGCAACCCTCAACTTCCTTGGTGGTGCAAGTACTAACCAGGACTGACCTTGCTTAGCTTCCAAGATCTGATGAGCTTGGACTAGCCTGGGCTATCTAGGTCAGGGCAGTAACCCCTGTAATAACTGTCACCAGCAGCACTTGTCACCAGTGTTCCCTCTAAGCTGAGTTAGTGTGAGCTAGCTCACAGTTTTTTAGCCTCCAGCTCACACATTTTTGTCTTAGCTCGGGAAGGATGGCTCCAGAGCAAACTCATTTAGGCAGGAGCCAAATCGTTTGCTCACAACTTTAATGCCAGTAACTCACAAAGTAGAATTTTTGTCTCACAAGACTCCGCAGCTTAGAGGGAGCATTGCTTGTCACTAGATCCACACTGTCCTGATTGCCATTCCATTGGAAGGGAAGAGTTCAGTTTACTGCATCTCCCCATCCCTTTCTTCAGCAAGGGGAAGGAGGGTTTTTTTTGTTTTTTGTTTTAAAGCAGGAATTGATTTCGTCATAGAAAAGCCATAGGATCCAGTTTAGTTACCAGCAGGTTGGTCATCAGATTTCCTGACTTGTATAAGATAACCAAGTCCTGTCACTACACATAAACCTCAGCTTGGGGGCTCTGGTATTTGTTCCATTATTCTTTTATTCCATTATTGTTTATTCCTCTTTCAGCAGCATGTTGAACATAGTCAGTTTTTAACATTGTTTGCCCACAGTAAAAATGGATGCAACTGGCTACAATTTTGCAAGGAGAGGGGGGAAGGAATACTAGCAATTTGTACAAAATACACAAACAAACTACAAAATTAAAAAAAACGTTCAGGCTTTTTAGAGATGTGAATCCTAGGAGAGATGGGTTCCACTGCCTTGGCTGTAGCCCAACAATGATCTTGGAGCTCAGGCATGAACTCAATGGATATTGCACAATGGGCCTGCAACCTTAGTAGATACACAGACCCAGTTCTGAATTACATGCTGTTTTAGTAAAAGATCAGAGCACGGTGACTAATTTATTGCCTCCCTCTTCCTTATTCTCCTCACTCCAGTCTTCTTCCTTTCTTCCCTCTACATACTTTTAGCTTTGTTTTTCCCTTCTTCTCCATTCCCAACTTGTGGCAGGTGCTCTTTAATGCAAGCAAAGAAGCTTTCAGGTACTAGAGCCCTTTTTACAAATTACAATGAGTGCACATACAATCCATGTACTCTTGATATTTCTTTAGATGTGCACTGATAATTCTCATGTTACATTCAATGCACGTATGTGTGACTGAAACCCCACACTGATCCAGGTATTGGTTCCCGGTTTCATTTGTAAAGTGAGCACACATTTGGTCTTTCTTACAAACAGGTGTATGCACATACATACAGGCTGTACAAGTGTTCACAATAATGTGTGAACAGGGCTTAGCTGATGGGGGGAAAGCTGCAAAGCCAAAAAACAAGAGCTACTTCTACATCAGATGACATGCTACTAAATTCTTGCTGCTCAAACTTGCCTCAAAGTCACGTATCCCAGATATATAGGTTTTGGATTTAGTGATGGAAAAACATTCTGCACATGTTTAGCATCCTCTTCTGTGTTAATCGATTCTTAAATTTGTCAGGTTGTGCTTAGATGTACAAATCTCCAGAGATGTGACATATAAATGTTCCAGATAAATAATGTAAGATAAAGGTCATACTGCCTTGGAAAAGAGGACCTCAAAAGAAACCACACTCTAATAGGAGTTAGGGAAGGAAAAGTTTGGTTAATTTTTCCTTAACTAGGTAGTCCTTTTAAAATGAACAAGAGCTCATTCTCTATGCAAAATATGTGCTACACCCAAAGGAAACTTGGGAAGTTCAAAAGTAAGGAAAGGGATAAAAAGAAATAATTTGGAAGTTTAAAAGTTCAGCTGGCTCTTGGCTAGAATCAAATTAAAAGAAAAGCCAAAGGGAAGCCCTGAGGGGCAGAATCCTCAAAGCAACTGTCAGAGAGAAAAGAACACGGCATAGTTTATGACCAGGTGTGCAGTCCTACAACATGAATGCCTGGAAAGAACAGGAAATACAGATGCCAGAAGCAGCTAGGAGAGAGAAGCACAAAGGCCTGAAAAGAAAGGGGGGTAGTGTGGGCCCTGGTACCTTGAAAATTCTACCATCAGCTTAACATAATCAGCTCCCTTTCACCAAATAAAACAACCTACTGAATCCCTGCTGGAAAACCCCCACCTAGCAATAGCTTTTGGGAAAAGGTGGTTCCAGGTGGTGGCTCACTGATGAGAAATGCCTCTCCAAACCCACTCAACCCCAGACACTACTTTGAGTGGTCTGAACAGATGCTCTCAGGGGCTGACTAGCAGCACTGAAACTACCACCATCCAGCTCAAATTAAACCCTGATTTATGGGTTACCACTGACACACTCACAACATCCAGATCGTTTGGGCTTTTCATGCCAGCCCAGATGCTTCTCAGGGGCTGACTAGCAGCACTGAAACTACCACCATCCAGCTCAAATCAAACCCTGATTTATGGGTTACCACTGACATACTCACAACATCCAGATTGTTTGGGCTTTTCATGCCAGCCCGGGCATTTAACCAAAATTCTGCAAATGGCCATTTTCTCTTTCACTGTAAGGACCTCATTTATCATCTATATATTAATACTGATTGGCTACATTATCTGCTGCGCCTTCCCTTTGCTGCTTGAATAATTTTATTTATTACTGCTGTCACTTTAGCGCTTTACCGTTCTGCTTTAGTTTCAGCCAATACCACTGTTAGATCCCTCAATTTTATAGTGCAAGTTTTACTGCTTTGTCTTGCTGCACTGTGTGTGTGTTTTAATGTACCTAAAGCTATCTCAAGAGTTTCCCAGCTGTGAACACAGAACTTAAATGCTTAAAATGAATAATTATGACAGTGGTGCATCTCCAGAGCAAAGACCTTTATGTTCTATGGAAATGCTTTTGAGTAGCCCTGCAGTGCACACCCATGGAGATGCTGTCTCTGTGCAGGTCTACCTTCTGTTCACAGGAGCCCACACCCCACAGGGGGCATCAGCCAGATGTTAGCACTTGCGTAACCTTGTAAAACCAAGTTCCTGTTTTCAAAGCACAGTAGGAGGGGAAAGTGCTCCTCCCCTTTTTGCGTGTTTTTGGTAAGTGTAATTTGCCATTTCAAAAATAAATAGGTGGTCCAAAAAACTGTCACGGAGACTTGCCTCCAGCTGGCAAAGTCGCCAAGAATTCCAGCTTTCCAGGACATAGTTCAGCCCTCTGTGCTGCAGAGGGAAGAGGTGCTCAAGCTGAAATCACAACTCTCCACAGCCTCTTTCACCTTTCAGATGACTGCAATGACACAATGCTGATTTGCTGGAAACCAACCCCTCTCCCCTTACACCCAACCCACATGGCTCTGTGCCACAGAACTCTGGAGCTGTATTTCAATGGAAGCAATGCACTTATATACACTGCAAATGTCTTTCCTTTGTCTGTGCCCCTCATGGTTTGGTTAACCAGCAAAGTTGCCAGATGCCATCTATCTTTTGCTGCTGCTACTTTTCCTCAGCACCAGCTCATTTCCACTAGGAGCTGCAAGTGCCATTCCATATTAGAAACCTTTTATTTTACACTTGGAAAGGGTGGGGAGAGAAACATCACAGGATAACTCACCAGACAGAGGATCTTTGCCAATTGTTAAAACGTTCGGCAAACTCATAATGATCAGCTGCTGGAGGACCTCCTAAAGAGAAGAGAGAAACAGACAAGACCATGATCAGTCTTTGAAAATGCTCAGTTCCACTGGCCAACACATGGCCCGCTTGCCTAGGTGAACAAGAAAAATCCACACATGGGAAGTCAGCCTTAAGATTCAAACACGGGTTTCATTGATTGGCTCTTAGAGACCATTAGCACATTTTTAACTTTGGCAACTGGATCCCCATAATTCACAGGTGTAGGGGGCACCAGTATGGAGATGAGAGAGAAGGCGCCTGCCTGTCCTGGGGTTCTTCCTGTGCTTCTGGGTATGTGCAGCAGAACCAAGCATGAAGTGGAAGATGGGACTAAACACAGTGTGGGGAAATGGTCTCTCAGGCCCCGCTTCTGCCCACATAAGAGCTTGGATGTTTCAAGGGCATCCCAGGGCCCCACCCAGCAAGGCCCTTCGCTTCATACTCCTGCTGTAACCTACTTCCCATGGGCTACCACCAGCTAATCATAAAGAATATATCTTCTGCTGAAGAACTAGTACTCCAGCACTCTTAGTTGCATTGCCGCTTAAAGGCTCCATGTCAGCTTCATGTTTTCTGTTTTGTTCACACTAGTTAACATGGGGACGAACAAATACACTTGTGCACTAAGGGGATGAAGGGAACAACGGCTGCCCACTCCCTTGCTCTTTTCCTTGATAAGCAGGACCAAATGAGTTCAATGTGGGCACAGAAATTAGTCACACATGAACACACGAAGGTACCTTATGCTGAATGAAACCATCAGTCCATCAAAGTCAGCTCTCCAGGGTCTCAGATGGAAGTCTTTCACATCATCTATTACCTGATCTTTTTACCTGGAGACAACAGGGTACTGAACCTGGCACCTTCTTTATGCCAAGCAGATGTTCTACCACTGAGCTATGGACCCTCTCCATAGTCTGCCAAGATTCAAAATTTTGAAATCACAATGGAATGAGCAAAGATCAAAAGAGAATATAACTGCAGACTTCTGACTCTGATTCTATACTTACCTTTAATGATGGTTAGAATAAGGACAGGCATATAATTAAAGTTCCAAGTTTCAGAAAACACCCTTTTTCTTAGTTTCAGAGTGTAGAGTCTCTTTCCTTGCTTCAGCAACATGTCGTTATGGCTGCCATTGTGGTGGAGTTCTGGTGTGAGATAGCGCCCTATTTGGGGTGTGCGTTCCATATATACCGAGCTGAATAAATACCAGAAGAATACCACCAGTATTTTCCAATCTAGCTGATCCCGAATAAAAGCTGATATTATTCAGCTTTTATTCAGGCTCAGCTTCACTTGCCAAGTTGCACCACTGCCATGACGGCAGAGCAGCTTGGAGTAGACATTTAAAGAGACAAGGTCGCTTTAAATGCGTTCTCCAAGCCAAGTCGCCCTGCACTGCAGCATGGGCTGGCTTGGAGAAGGTCTTTTAAAATGCATTCTCCCAGCCCCGCCATGTCATGCAGGATGGCTTGGCTCGGAGGAGGTCTCTTTAAATGATTTCTCCAAGCCAAGCCAGCCTGTGCTGAGGTAGGGCTGGGAGAACACATTTAAACTTAAAGGTGGATGAACTCGTGCCGCTTTGAGTTACTCATGTACGGCTTGGCTTTGCAAAAGCCATTTAAAAGGGAACTTTCCCTTTAAATGGCTTCTGCAAGCCATGTCATGTGCGAGTGAACCAAGAAGCAGTGCGAGTTCACCCACCCCCTTCTCCATTATACCAATATTGGGATTCAGGAATACCAGGAAATACCAACATTTTTTGGGTTCTTTTTACCCAAACGAAAACAGTGTGTGTGTGTGTGGGGGGGTTGCACACCCCTACTTCCCCATAAGAAGTAAGATGGCTAAGAGTGGTAAGAGTTTCTTCCGCATATCCTGGGTTTTATAATAATTGTTGCACTGCCCCCCCCCCGGGTTATCTTTCTTTTTCTGTCCCAAAAGGAACATCCATTCTTTCCCATCTAGTCTCCCAAGTTTTGTGGTTTAGGTGTGACTTTTTAATTTTTTTGTCATTCCCGGGCTGGGACCACCTGCATATCTGTGGAGATGGATGGCTCATGCTGGGAAATGAGTCATACCTACTCCAGATTTCCTCTAACACATCTATTACTTTGTAAGGAGTACATGGTAGCCTCTGAGCCTGTGTAGTGCCAACCCAACTATTACCAACCTTGCTGTAAATTTTGGGGTTTAAGGCAGAATGCACACAGTGGTTGTACAAGTGAACAGAACATGACAAGTAGACTCTTGTGAGCACATCTCCATGAATTACACTTTCCATCTAGACAAGATGATTGCTTGGGTTCAGAGGTCAGCGACCTTTTTATAATTAGAGAGCCAAGCTGAGCCAAAATTCAGAGCAAGAGATTGACAAAGAGCCAGTATAAGAAAGCCCATCTACATAACTGAACATATTCAACAACATTACTAACACTAAGAATGTGCAAGGTTTCTTCAGCCCCAACACTGGAGGCTGCAAGGCCTTTATTAGGAAGTACCACACATCAGGTCTCACAGTTAAGTGATAAAGATACACAAGGAACACCCTATGTTACTGTTTTAGTGCACTGGCACAAATCTGCATGTGTGGTAGGATCCAGACTAAATCTTCCATCAGCAAAATGGAACTTTCTACCCACTGAGCTCAGGGACCCTGAGGAACAACATGATGGTGCCCGCAGCGGGAAGGCTGAACTCGGTGCCAGGTTAGTCTGGATCCAGCATCCGGGTCACACTCGGATTATTGGCAACTGTGCTCCATAATCATTTCCCTTCCTGTAAAGCACTGCTAAGAAATCCCTTTGTCCCATAAAATGAGCCATTTTGATTAGGTATTGAAATCTGAACCTTCCATGGGGGAAAAACATAGCTGCAGTTGATTGAAGGAAGTAACATATGAGCCCTGCCAATTCTGGCAAGTATGTTGGTGTCGTATTTTTCAGCTGCCCCACTCATGAATGGCTATGTGATATTTTTTTTTTAAGCATATGAGTCAGGCTAATAAATACTAGCTTTTAAATGGGGCTCTATAAGTGTCTGGGGTGTTAACGATTCCTACGCCCCCCTCCCTCTGAGTCTGCCTTGGCGGGGAGGGCAGGGTATAAACTGAATAAATAAATAAATACATACATACATATATCAAGGAGAAAGTAAGGATGTAACTTATTCCAACTGATACATTCAAACCTGACAGGGAGGAAGTGAAGTGAGTCAGCAGAGTTTTCCCCCTTTAAAGTGGCTTGTCAAGGTCAGTTAGGGTCAGGGGGTTAAGGAAGCAGTATTTGTTTAGCAGACTGGCTTCAAGTCAGCCTTGAATAAGTGCTGGGAAAATGGATTAAATTACCAGAGGGCAGGTTATTTAGCAAGCCAAGAAAACATAACATAACGGAGGAGGAGAGGCAACAGCCCAAGTTTCAGCTGCAGAAATATATCCATGGATTTCTGTATAACAAGCATGGCATAAGCAACCCTCACAATGGTGTAAAATGAATACTTTGGTCCTCATACTCAAGGGTTCCTGGTGCTAATTCACTTTTTTAAGCAAATGTCAGACCCGCCATTAAAGCTGGCGTGTGCTGGTACTAGTAAAGATTTTAAGAAGGAAGTACTAAATGGTAAAAGCCATAAGGTCAGTCCAATACTCCACCTTCCGAGTTAAGTTCTGATACATCGGTTTAGACATTGACCAGTAAAATGACATAATTTCCTCCAAGTAATGCTTACATGTGAGGACATTTCGCAGTTCCTTGGATCTCTTATCCCTCACTTATTCCTATGTCTTTCACTGAGAATGACTACTACAAATATGTCAAGAGCAGTCCATGAACACTGTGGGGGCAAATAAAAAGGATATTGGATAACTTATTGAAGGTTGTTCTTGAGGAGCCTTACAGCCATCAGAAACACCACCAGCCCTCAACTTTCATTCAGTGGCTAAACTGGCAACAGCTCAACTATGAGAAAAAGAAGTTAGCCACCAAGTTGGCTTTGGGTCAGCTGAAGCCTCTGGTGCTTGCAGGTGCGGAAGTGCTGGAAAACAAAGGGACCCATTTTAGAGAAACTCCTCCATAGATACAGGGCACAAATGCCAAGTATGCAAGAGGCTGTGAAGAGGCAGACAGCACACTGTAGCTGTGCATCACCTAAAGTGCCCCTACACCTCCCACTGCCTTAGGATGGTTTTGCCTCCTATGTTGCCTTTAGGACCTAGCAGGATCACAGCATAGTGTCGGGTAGAAATACAGACCAGATTGTAACACAGTCAGGCCCACAGGTCTCTCCCATTCTAGAGCGCTGCTTCCAGCGCCAAGGCTAGCCCTCATTTGAGTGGGACTGTGTTGCATATGCAATGACAGGGTCTCACTATGCTTCTTTTCTCACCTGCAGCAAAGTTAGTTTCCAGCTCTTAGACTTGCAACAGTAATGACCGGTTGTGCCCTGCAACTGTGGTGGAAAAGACCTGGTCTGGCCTGCTGGCCCTGTTCCACCCTGCTCTCCGAGGTTTCCCCCAACACCTGGAGAGGCTTTTCTCTCTCTCCGGAAACCCGCCACCATTACCTGACCTTTGTAGGAATTGCTCGTTGGGAGGGTCAGGACTCCCAGCTTCTCTTCCAAGTTCTGACGCCTTGCCTCTGTGTCTCCCGCTGCTCAGAGTCTGGGCAGCACGGGGACCATTTACCGCCTTGTGCGCCCCTGGAGGAATAGCCACTTGCCAACTGCCTGCCTCCCCCCTTGTGCGCCTTTTAAAATAGCATGTCCAAGATTGTTGCATTATGTTGTATGCTAATTTACTGCTCTCCCCCTCTACCTACATGTATGGACTGGTAATTTCATTGTATCTAAGGAAGTGTGTGTGCACACGGAAAACTTATACCTTGAATAAAACTTTGTTGGTCTTAAAGGTGCCGCCGGACTCAAACTTTGTTCTGCTGCTTCAGACCAAAACAGGTACCCAAATGAACCACTGATGTGATGTTTTTCATTCTGATTCCAAATAAGCTAT